CCTGGGGAATAATACCAAACATTTAAAGAAGAAATAATACCTATTCTGAAGCTGTTTCAAAAAATAGAAGCAGAAGGAAAACTTCCAAACTCGTTCATTGAGGCCAGCATTACCTTGATCTCCAAACCCCAAAGACCCCATCAAAAAGGAGAATTTCAGACCAATATCCCTGATGAATACAGATGCCAAAATTCTCAAGAAGATTCTAGTTAATAGGACCCAGCAATACATTAAAAGGATCATCCATCACGATCAAGTGGGATTTATCCCTGGGATGCAAGGGTGGTTCAACAATCGCAAATCAATCAATGTGATAGAACACATTAATAAGAGGAGAGAGAAGAACCATATGGTCCTCTAAATTGATGCAGAAAAAACATTTCCAAAATACAGCATCCTTTCCTGATTAAAACTTCAGAGTATAGGGATAGAGGGAACATTCCTCAATTTCATAAAATCCATCTGTGAAAACCCCACAGTGAATATCATTCTCACTGGGGAAAAGCTGAGAGCTTTTCCCCTAAGATCAGGAACACGACGACGATGCCCATTCTTGCCACTATTATTCAACATAGTACCAGAAGTCCTAGCAACAGCAATCAGACAACAAAAAGAAATAAAAGATATTCAGATTGGCAAAGAAGAAGTCAAACTCTTTCTCTTCACAGATGACATACTTTATGTGGAAAGACTCCACCTCCAAATTACTAGAACTCACACAGCAATTCAGTAATGTGCCAGAATACAAAAGCAATGCATAGAAATCAGTTGCTTTCTTATACACTAACAATGTAACTGTAGAAAGAGAAATTAGGGAATCGATTCCATTTACAACAGCACCAAAAACCATAAGATACCTTGGAATAAATCTAACCAAAGAAGTAAAGAATCTATACTCTAGAAACTACAGGACACTTATGAAAGAAATTGAAGAAGACACAAAAAGATGGAAAACATTCCATGCTCATGGATTGGAAGAATAAACATTGTTAAAATGTTTATGCTGCCCAGAGCAATCTATACTTTCAACACCATCCCAATCAAAATACCAATGGCATTTTTCAAAAAGCTGGAACAAACAGTTCTAAAATTTGTATGGAATCAGAAAAGACCCCGAATCGCCAAGGAAATGGTGAAAAAGAAAAATCTGGGGCCATCACGTTGCCTGATTTCAAGCAGACACATAGATAAAACAGACACATAGATAAGTGGAACAGAATAGAGAGCCCAGATATGGATCCTCAACTCAATGGTCAAATAATCTTAGACAAAGCAGGAAAAAATATCCAATGGAGGGGCGCCTGGGTGGCTCAGTCGTTAAGCGTCTGCCTTCGGCTCAGGTCATGATCCCAGGGTCCTGGGATCGAGCCCCACATCGGGCTCCCTGCTCTGTGGGAAGCCTGCTTCTCCCTCTCCCACTCCCCCTGCTTGTGTTTCTGCTCTTGCTATGTCTCTCTCTGTCAAATAAATAAATAAAATCTTAAAAAAAAAAAAAATATCCAATGGAAAAAACCAGTCTCTTCACACCTTAAAGAACTGGAGAAAGAACAACAAATAAAGCCTAAGCCTATTGGAGATACTGGGAAAATTGGACAACTAAATACAGAAGAATGAAACTCGACCATTCTCTTATACCATACACAAAGATAAACTCTAAATGAATGAAAGACCTCAATGTGAGACAGGAATCCATCAAAATCCTAGAGGAGAACATAGGCAGTGACCTCTTTAACATCAGCCACAGCAACTTCTTTTAAGACACGTCTCCAAAGGCAAGGGAAACAAAAGTGAAAATGAACTTTTGGGACTTCATCAAGATAAAAAGCTTCTGCACAGCAAAGGAAACAGTCAACAAAACAAAGAGGCAACCCACGGAATGGGAGAAGATATTTGCAAATGACACTACAGATAAAGGGCTGATATCCAAGATCTATAAAGAACTTCTCAAACTCAACACCCAAAAAACAAATAATCCAGTCAAGAAATGGGCAGAAGACATGAACAGACCTTTCTCCAAAGAAGACCTATGAATGGCTACAGACACATGAAAAAACTTTCAACATCATTAGCCATTAGGGAAATTCAAATCAAAACCACACTGAGATACCTAACCTTACACCAGTTAGAATGGCAAAAATTGACAAGGTAGGAAACAAATGTTGGAGAGGATGTGGAGAAAGGGGAACCCTCTTGCACTGTTGGTAGGAATACAAGTTGGTACAGCCACTTTGGAAAACAGTATGGAGGTTCCTCAAGAGGTTGAAAATAGACCTACCCTATGACCCAGCAATTGCACTACTGGGTATTTACCCCAAAGATACAGATGAAGTGAAAAGAAGGGGCACATGCACCCCAGTGTTCATAGCAGCAATGTCCACACTAGCCAAACTGTGGAAGGAGCCAAGATGCCCTTCAACAGATGAATTGATAAAGAAGATGGGGTCCATATATACAATGGAATATTACTCAGTCATCAGAAAGGATGAATACCCACCATTTGCAGTGACATGGATGGAACTGAAGGGGATTATGCTAAGTGAAATAAGTCAAGCAGAGAAAGACAATTATCATATGATTTCACTTATATGTGGAACATAAGGAATAGCACGGAGGACATTAGGAGAAGGAAGGGGAGAATGAAGGGGGTGGAAATCAGAGGGGGAGACAAACCATGAGAGACTGTGGACTCCGGGAAACAAACTGAGGGTTTTGGGGGGGGGGGAGTGGGTGGATCGGTTAGCCTGGTGATGGGTATTAAGGAGGGCATGTATTGCAATGAGCGCTGGGTGTTATAAGCAAACTGAATCATGGAACACTACATCAAAAACTAATGAAGTACTGGGGCGCCTGGGTGGCTCAGATGGTTAAGCGTCTGCTTTCGGCTCAGGTCATGATCCCGGGGTTCTGGGATCGAGTCCCGCATCGGGCTCCCTGCTAGGCGGGGAGCCTGCTTCTCCCTCTGCCTCTGCCTCTCTCTCTCTCTCTGACTTTCATGAATACATAAATAAAAAAACATTTAATAAAAAAAAATAAAAAAAAAAAACTAATGAAGTACTGTATGGTGACTAACATAACATAATAAAAGAAAAAAGATTCTAATAATTGTGTGAAGAAGACCTATCCAGAAAAAATAAATAGCTACATAGTTTATTCTAACCAATACATACGGAAGTGTCAATGAAGAAGTGATCACTATTTGATGGAGAATATTGAGAACACCTCCTAAGAGAATGTGGAATTCAGGCTGAGCCTCAGAAATGTCTTTAGTTAAATGGAGAAAAGGGCAAGGCGCATGAGCAAAAGTTAGTGTATTTCTATAATGATAATATGAACCTATGTATAAAGAATATGGAGAATAGTTTGTCTTATATTTATAGAGGTGTTTTGAAGGTATCAACTAGGAGGTAAGTTTGGAGAAGTGGGAGGTGACCAAATTATGAAGAACTCTGAATGCATGGCAGGTTACAACTTTAATTGAAGAGATCCTTGAAGTGTAGTCTCTGTACTAGCCAAATAAGGAATTACTGAGCAGCATGTTTAGAAATGCAGTATTTCAGGCCTACTGTGAATAAGAAAATTCCTAAGTGATTTCATATGTTCAGTAAGATTTGAAAAGTACTATTATAGTGTATAGTCTGAATCTGTTATTCTAAGTCAAATGTTTATGGCTAGGAACACTTTTTTTATTATTATTATGTTCAGTTAGCCAGCATATAGGAACACATTTTTCAACAGAAACTACATAAGAAGTAGGATTTTGGCCTAACCTATACAGGCCTAAATGATTCATAAATTAGAAATACTCTGTGAGACCTAGTGCTGAAATTCTAGGTGAGACAGTAACTGCTGGAATGAAGAACAAACAGAAAAGCAGATTTAAGTCTAGTTTAGGGAAAGAGAAAAAGGAAAATAAGCCTGTCAGACTACTAAGTGCTGGATTGTACTGGTGTAATAAAAAGTCAATGACTGGGGCATCCCGATCCCATAATTTCCCAAATGCTAGATTTTGGAGAATAGCATCTGTGTTGCCAGGAGAGATCTAGGATGCTTATAGCAAATTCTCTCTTCCTTAACAGAATGGCAGCCTTGATTCAGGGAAAGAACAAATTATTTCCCTAAATTACACAATTTCTGAGATACATTGTCATGTAAAAAAGCACAGTGTGGAGTAGTATGTATAGTTCGCTAAAGTGAACAATATTTTAACATGTTATTTTGCACATGTGCAGATATATATAGGAAAAGTTCCTACAAGTGGAATTATTTGTACAGAAGCTATGTGCATTTGTAATGTTGCTAGATTTTGCACAGTTGTTCTCCAGAAATACTGTATCAGTTTACACCTTCACCAGTGATGTGTAAGAATGTTAAATTATGTATCCAACTTTCTGATCTTTGCCATTGTGAGGTTAAAAAATGGTATCGTGGTTTTGTTTTAATTTGTGAGATTGAATATCTTTCAATCTGTTTAAAAGCCATTTCTGTGAAATATCCATATTCTTTGCCAATTTTTCTATTAGGGTATTTCATTTCCTTTTTTATTTATATGAATTATTTCTGTATTAGGGAAGTTAGCCCTTTCTGATATGGGTAGCAAACCTTTTTGTCAATATACAAAAGCAGCAACAAATAGGTAGCTAGTAGCTATTATATTGGACAACACAGGCCTAGAAGTAGCCTACATAATTTGCTGATGACCCATATTTCCTTAGAACAGTGATTACCAAAGGGATAGGATGGGTTTTTTTTTTTTTTTTTTTAAAGAGCATGTTTAATATTGTAGTTTTATATTTGGAAAACAGAAAAAGTTTTATAACATGGGATTTTAAGAAAGTAAAGCTTGATGAAAATGCTCTTAGCTGGTGAGTAAAGGTTAAAAATTATTGAAAATGTATCTAAGAATATTGTTAATTTCTAAATATCGTTGACTGTTGTGAAAAACCACAAAATTCTTTTAAACTGTGAATGCCTCTGTATCATTCCCATTTTTTTCCCACTAGGTTACCACCAAAGAACATGATTTTGGTCTAGGGGCTCCAGTTTCTGAAGCTGAAAAATACCAGAATAAACTCCAGCTAGAACAAGAAGTGAGAAATCAAGATAAATTCATCTCTGCACTGAAATTACAGGTTACATTTATTTCCCTGAAATAATTTGGGATGGGGACCTATTTTAAAACAAGAAGATGGAGAATAAATACTAATTCAATGTTCATAGGAATTTTATGGGTCTAGAATCATTCCATTTTTATCTTTATCATTTGATACATGCAGATTCAGATACATATGAGTGCAAACTATGTGGAAGTGTTACATCCAGTGCTTTTAAGTACATAATCCAACTCAATTAAGTACTTAATTCCAACCTTGTGAAATAGTGATGTGATTTTCATTTTACAGACATGGAAGCTGAAGTTCCAAAGGTTATAGAATTATATTTGACTAACATGTGACAGAGCTAGGTAGGATTTGTCTGAACTCCCAGGTTAGCTAGGATTTGAACCCAGTTCTCTGAACTCCAAGTTCGGTATTGTCTGTTTTCCTAGTGCCTGACCTGTGGTAAGGCTACTAATGAAGGCTATTAAAAGAAACTTCCTCTTTTAGGAAGATGGAGTAGACTTACTTTACCCTATTTGTCCCACTAAGTACAACTAAAAATGCTGAACATTTTGTTATAAAACAAACATAAGGACATTCTGAAAGGTGGGCTGAAGGAAGACTGGCTAGGGACCTCAGCATACAATAAGTGACATGTTATTGAATTCCTGGGTTTTCCTTTTGCTCTATGTATCTCAGAGAGTGCTAGAAAAACTGGCATCTAGAATGGATGCAGACAAAAAAAGGACTAGGAAGGGGGCAGCCTAGCAATGTAGACCACTTTTTTTTTCTGTCCGAGGTCTTTATAATTTATATTACATTTTTAACTTGGAAACAATCTCAAATTTATCTAAAAGTTGCAATTACGGAACAAAGAATATCTCCACCCACCCCCCAAACCCAAACCATTTGAGAATAAGTTGCAGACCTGATGTCCTGATAACCCTAACATTTGAGTGGGTATTTCCTATAAATAAGAACACTCTCCTACAAGATCACAATACAGTCTGGTAAAATCAAGAAATACATTGCTGCCAGCTAATCTTCTGACCCCATTCAAGTTTTTGCTAATTGTCCCGTAATGTCATCAATAACAAAAAGATCTAGTCTGGCATCACATGTTGCATTTAGTTATTGTATCCCTTTATCTTCTTTATTCAGGAACATTCTTCCTTGATTTTTATGACCACAACACTTTGAAGAATACAAGCCAATTATTTTGTAGAATGGCCATTGATTTGGGTTTGTTATGATTATCTTTATGTTATGAACCTTTGGCTATGTGGAAGCCAGCCTTCAAATTGGCCCCACTTCCTTTACTCCCACTCTAATACAGTCTCCTTGCACATGGTACCAGAATTGATCTTTGTGACCGAGAGCATAGAGCAGAAGTGATTAAGTTATAAAGTGATCTCTTGGATCTCTTGGAAGCAAGTTTCCACTTTGTGAGCAGCTCAGTGGATAGGCCCACTTGGGAAGGAACTGAAGCAGCCAGTAGCCAGTGAGAAACTGAGGCCTACCAACTATGTAGGGTGAGTCTGGAAGTGGATTCTCCAGCCCCACTTAAACCTTCCTATGGTGACTGTCACCCTGACTGACTCCTTTCACCTAGTGAGAGACCTTAAACCAGAATCACCAAATTAAGCCACTCCCAGATCCCTGATTCTAGGAAACTGTGACATAATTGTTGGCTTAAGGTACAAAATGAATACAGACAGGAATATCACAGAAGTGATGGTGGGTTCTTTTCATTGCATACTATCAAGTAGCACACAATTTCAATTTGTCCCATTAGTAATGATCTGTATTTGGATCCCTTGGTTAAAGTGTTATCTTCTGGGCTTTTCCCTGGTACAGTTCCTCTTTTTTCTCTCTTATTTTTTAATTTTTAATTTTTTTAATTAAAGTATAGTTGACACATAGTGTTACATTAGTTTCAGGTGTACAGCATAGTGATTTGACAACTGTATGCTCTGCTCACCACAAGTGTAGCTGCCATCTGTCACCATACAGTGCTATTATAATACCATTGACTATATTCCCTATGTTTTACCTTTCATCCTCATGACTTACTCATTCTGTAACTGGAAGCCTATACCTCTCACTCTCCTTCACCCATTTTTCCCATCTTCCTCCCCTCTGGCAACCATCATTTTGTTCTCTGTATTTATGGATCTGTTTCTAATGCAGACTATTTTTGGACAATAACTGCCTACTCAAACACCATGAAAAAAACTGTAGCCCCACTCCTGCTGGCAAAATCTGAGTAAGGAGCCTAGACTTCCACCCTTGTCAGGCTGTAACAAGGAGTTCCAGCCATACCTCATGGCCCACCCTCCAGGCTCCCACATCCCACCAAGCTGGTATCATAGAGGCATGCTGGGGAGCCAAGACCTTAGTGCCCACCAGGCAGTAAGAATCCCCCCCCCCCCGCACAACTGCCTAGTGTCAGCAAAGACCACATGAGGAGCCTAGATATCCACCCTCACCCAGAGCAACAGGTGTCCCCTTTCCTTTTTGTTGAGGTGGTTTCAGAAGGGACCTCATGCAGAGTCAGGACTTCTACCACCTCCTAGCAGTAACAAGTCCACCCACCCATAGTGGTGGTGGAGGACACATGGGAACAGTAACAGGGTGCCTGTATTCTTCCTTACTGTGGTGGTATCAGCAGAGGTCTGGTGGGGACCCTGAACTCCCATTCCTGCCTAGCAGTAACAAGGAAACCAGTCCTGCCAGGTATCAACAGAGGCCTAGTAGAGAAATTGGACTTTCACCTACACCTAGCAATAAGAAGGTAGTGTCCCCCTTTATTAGCTGGAACTAAAGTCACAGGAAGTGTGACAAGAAGCCTACTAGAACACAAGAGCAGATCTCAATGAAAAAATCACTTCTTATCTCAAAAATCAGGAATATCTCAACCTTAATGAGAAAAGACAACCAAGAGATGCCAACACAGAGATGAATTAGAGATTATCTCACAAGGATTTTAAATCAGTTATATAAATGCTTCAAGCAATTCTGACCATGTCTGAAACAAACACAAAGCTAGAAAATCTCATCAAAGAAATAAAAGGTATATAAAGAAGAATCAAGTGAAAATTTTGGAAGCAACCAAGATGTTCTTCAATAGGTGAATAGATAAATTGTGGTATATCTGTACAATAGAATATTATTCATTGATGAAAAGAAATGAGCTATCAACCACAAAAAGACATGAAGAAACATTGAAAGCAAATTGCTAGGTGAGAAAAACTAACTGAAAAGGTTACATACTCTGTGATTCTAATTATTTGACCTTCTGGAAAAGACAAAACATAGAGACATTAGAAAGATCACTGATTGCCAAGGATTTGGAGGAAGGAAGGGTGGGAAGGGTGAATGGAGCACAGGTTTTTTTAGGGCAGTGAAACTATTTTGTATGACACAGTAATGGTAGACACATGTCACTAAGCATTTGTCGAAACCCATAGAATGTACAACCGAAAGAGTAAACCCTGATATAAACTCTGGACTTTGGTTAATGTGTCAGTGCTCATAATTGTAGCATATACACCATACTAATACTAGATATAAATAAGATGGGAAACTGTGTTGGGTGGGGAGAAGGGGCTCTGTACTTCCTGATTAACTTTTCTGTAAGCCTAAAACGTTCTAAAAAAAATAAAGCCTAGGGGTACCTTGGTGGCTCAGTCAGTTAAGCATCTGCCTTCAGCTCAGGTCATGATCCCGTGGACCTGGGATCAAGCTGTGCATCTGGCTCCCTGCTCAGTGGGGAGTCTGCCTCTCCCTCTGCCCCTCCCCCTGCTTGTGTGCATGTGCGCTCTCTTTCAAATAATTAAATAAAATCTTAAAAAAAATAAAGTCTATTTAAAAAATGCATGGGAGAAAATATTTCCAAATCATGTATCTGATAAGGGATTAATATCGAGAATATATAAAGTACTTTACAACTCAACAATCAAAAAACAGAACAACCCAATTCAAAAGTGGGCAAAGGACTTGAATAGACATTTTTCCAAAGATATACAAATGGCAAGCACATGAAAAGATGGTCAACATCATCATCCATTGAGGAAATGCAAATCAAAACCACAATGAGGTATCACTTCATACCTATTATTATGGCTATTACCAAAACAAAATAACAAGTGCAGGTGAGGTTGTGTAGCATCTGGAGCCCTTGTGCATTGTTAGTGGGAATGTAAAATGGTGCAGCCATGGTGGGAAAAGTTTGGCAGTTCCTGTAAAAGTTAAATGTAGAATTACCATATGATCCAGCTATTCCACTCCTAGATATATCCCCAAAAGATTAAAAAGTAGGAACTCAAATACTTGTACACTAATGTTCATAGCAGCATGATTTTCAGTGGCCAAAGGTGGAAACAACCTAGATGTCCATCAATAGATGCTTAACAGGATGTGGTGAGTACATACAATGGAATATTACTCAGTCTTAAAAAAAAGACCGAAATTCTGATGCAAGACTGCAACATGGGTGAGACTTGAAAACATTATGCTAAGTGAAATAAGCCAGGCACAGAGGGACAAATATGTGATTCCACTTATGTGAGGTACCTAGAATAGGCAAATTCATAGAGACTTATTGTTTAGTGGGTACAGACTTCAGGATAATAAAAAAATTCTGGAAATGGATATGGGATGGTTGCACAATATTGTGGATGTACTTAATGCCACCAAATCGCACACTTAAGAATGGTTAGAATGGTAAGTTTTATGTATGTTTTACCACAATGAAAAAATTTTTAAAAGATACGGTAACTGAAATTAAAAACTCCGTGTTCTCAAACAACAGGATGGAAAGGAGAGAGGAATGAATTGGTGAACATGAGAATAGAAATAGAAATAACCTAATCTGAACAGAGAGAAAATGGATTGAAAAAGTGCAAAGAGAGGCTCAGGGACAGGTGGGACTATAACAAAAGGTATAATACTTAGATCACTGGAGTCCCAGAAAGAAAGGTAAGAGAGGATGGGACTGAAAAAATATTCAGAGCAATAATGGCTAAATATTCTCTAAATTTGGCAAAAGACTTAAGATGGATTAAAGAAGGTGAGTGAACACCTACCCCAGGAATCTCTCAAAGAAACCCATGCCAAGACACCTTGTATTCAAACTTGTGAAACCTAAAGACAAAAAAAGTAATCCTGAAAGTAACAGTTCATTGGTTATAGGTGAACACCAATCCAAATAACAACAGATCTGAAAACATGGAGGTTGGAAGGAAGTGAAACATTTTTTAAATGCTAGAAGAAAACCCAGTATTCTGTATTCAGTGAAAGTATCCTTCAGAAATGAATGGAAAATCAACGCATTCTCAGATGAAGAAAACTAAGAGAATTGGTTGCCAGCATAACTATTCTGCAAGAATAGCTAAAGGATTTTCTCTAACTAGGAAGGAAGTGATAAAACAATCTTGGAAGAATATTAAAGAAAGACAAGAATATGGCTAAAAGCAATACAATTTCCTTTTTTTTGTTTTCTAAATTATGTTTGTCAAATGTAGTTCTCAACGGATGTAGATGAAATATTTAAGATAATTATTTTATTAGTAGATGAGGGTAAAGGGCTATAAGGGGTATAAAGGGAAGTAAGTTTTCTACACTTCACTTGAACTGGTAAAATGTATGCTGTGCTAAGTTACAAATAAGTTACACTTTGAGCAACTACTAAAAAGCTATGCAAAGAGATTTCTCAAAAACACTATAGATAAGTTAAAATGGAATTTTAAAAAATGTTCAAGGAACCCACAGGAGGGCAGGAAAAACAAAACAGAGAAAACAAAACAAACAACCAAAAAGAAGTCACACTTGAAATTTTTTTTTTATCGAAGTATAGTTGACTCACACTTGAATCTTAGTATAAAAGTCTAAATACACCAATTAAAAGACGGAAACTAGTAGACTGGATTTAAAAACCTGATCTAGCTTTATGCTGTCTGTAAGAAATTCACTTCAAATATAATGATACATGTAGGTTGAAAGGTTGAAAGGCATACAAACCGGAAATGAAGACATAAAACTGTCCCCGGTTGTAGATGTCATGATCATCTACCTAGAAAATCTCATAAAATCTACAATACAAAACTATAACTAGTAAACAAGTTCATCAAGATCACAATACAAGGCATACATATTCATTTTCTTTCTGTATATTAGCAGTTAACATGTGGATATCAGAAATGCAATATCATTTACAATCACTCAAATAGAAAATGGAATCCTTAGATGTCAATCTAAAAAAGTAAGTATGAATTTATAATCTGAAAACTACAAAACTCTAATGAAAGAAATCAAAGAAGGTCTAAACAAATGGAGTGACATCATGTTCATGGATTGGAAGCCTCAACATAGTAAAGATGTCAGTTCTCTCCAAATCAGTATACATTTAATGCAGTTCTCATCAAAACCCCAGCAAAAACAATTTTGAAAAGAATAAAAGTGGGAAGAGTCATTCTCTTTGATTTCAAAGCTTAATATATAACTACAGTAATTAAGACGGTTTGGTAGTACTAGAGGGATAGACACAGATCAATGATACAGAATAGAGGATCCAGAAATAGCCTTACACAAGTAAAGCCAAAAGGTTTTTGACAGAAGGAAAGATAGTCTTTTCAACAAATGGTGTTGAAACAATTGGATATCTTTTAGGAAAGAAAATGAATCTAGACCTAAACCTCACACCTTACACAAAAAATTAATTGAAAATGGATCATAAATTTAAATGTAAAACATAAAACTATGGAACTTTTTTAGGGTAATATAGAAAATCTTCAGGACCTTGGGCTTGGTGGAGAGTTCTTAGATGTGACACCAAAAGCATGATTCATAAAAGAAAAATTGATAATTTGGACTTCATCAAAATTTAAATCTTTTGCTTTGTGAAAAACCCTTTTAACAGGATGAAAAAACAAGCTACAAACCATATTTCTACCGGAAGAATCATATGTGGGATACATGAAGAATTCTTAAAACTCAGCAGTAAAAAGGAACAATCCAATTAGAAAATAAGCAAAAGATATGAAGAGATATTTCATAGAAGGATATATGTTGATAAGCACATAAAAAGATGTTTATCCTTTCTAAATGTCAGGGAAATGCAAATTAAGACTGAGATGAAATAATAATGTACACCTATAAGAACAGTTGAGATTAAAAATAGTGACAATACCCAGTGCTGGCAAAGATGAGGAGAAACTGGATCACTCATACATTCGTGGTAGGAATGGGAAATGGTACAACCACTCTGGAAAATAGTTCAGTTCTTTATAAACTAAATATATATTTATCATACAGCCTAGCAATTGCACTCCTGGGTATGCCAGAGAAATGAAAACTTATGTCCACTCAAATATTTGTATATGATTGTTCATAGCAGCTTTATTTGTCATAAGGACTGGAAACAACTACAATTTCTCTTAATCAGTAAATGACTAAACAAACTGATAATCCATACCATGGAATATTACTCGGCAACAAGAAAAAATGAACAATTGATCCATGTAACTTCGATAGATCTCAACAGCATTGTGCTGAGTGAAAAAGACAATGTCAAAAGATCACATACTATGATCTTTACCACATGATTTTATTTATATAACATTCCTGAAAAGACGAAATTATAGAGATTAGTGGTTGCTAAGAGTTAAGGATGGGGAGGGGAGAGGATGTGACTATAACAGGCTAACAGGGCAATCTGTGGTGATGGAATAATTCTGTATCTTACCAAGATGCTGACTACAGCAGTCTATACATGGGATCACATTGTACCAATGTCAAATCTCTGAGTTTGATATTGTACTATAATTATTTAAGATGGAACTATTGGGGAAAGTGGGTTAAGGGCCCAGGAGATCCTTTTGTACTTCCTGTGACTCTTCAGTTATTTCAAAATAAGTTTTTTTTTAAAGCTACTTTTTGAGTACTTGTCATCTGCCAGAAATTTTACTTGTACTTTTATACCTGACTACAACCCTGCAAATTGTAGGTATTCTCTCCATTTAGCAGATGAAAGTTAAGAGGCTTCCATTTATTTTTTCTGAAGTCAGATGCGTCTCTTAGGATCAAGAAAATATGGTAAATTGTCAGGATTAACTGGTAAAGAACTACAACAGGACTTGAACCTGTCTGCCTAATTCCAAAGCCTACATCCTTTCTACCACTTGAAACTGCCTCTTCTAAAGTACTTGTGTATTGGAATTTAGTAAAAGTAGGGCTTGATGTTAGAGATGAGGAGAGTGAGTGTTTTAATTTATAATTTATTTGTTTTATTCATTTAAAAATAATTTGAGCATTTTATGCTAAATATATAGTAAATGATACAAAATTAAGAGGTGTGTTAATACCGAAGTTAGAGACAATGCCTTTAAAGTTGCTTAGAATTTAGTGGAAGGCACAGGGAAGTAAACAAATAATGTATGTTATAAAATAACCAAAATTAAACTGTGTAAGAGGCTTTATGGGAGCACAGAGAGGAAAAGCATTTAACCTCTCCTGGTGCAGTGGAAAGTTAACACACATTTTTAGTGTGCTCTTATTGCTCAAAAATGTGGCACTGTAGAAGCCATGAACAAAGATAAAAAGACATATAGATAGATAAATTGAAGTTTATGTGTTTTTATCCCACATCCTATAGTTTTAAAAAAGATACAAGTAATAAAAATAGCTTAGGTAATAAGAATGGGGCAAATAAACTTAATGAAAGCATGGGACAAGAACAGCAGACAGGAGATCATTGCACACAGGTTCTGTGCTAGTTACTAGAGGTGGGTTGCAGGTAGGCTTTAAAATTCCTTGTGGCCAGGACAAAAAAGGAAATTTTAGTTAAATAATTCACCATATATCCTGATAATCATTTTCAATGGGTCTAATGTATTTTTTTTCCTTTGAAGGCATTTGGATATCTCTGTGATAGAAAAGGCCCTTTTCTTCATCGGTTGATGGTTTGATAGTGGGCTGGGAAGGAAAGCTGTGGTCCTCCACATTAGTCAGCAAATACTTGATTGATTTGGTATTTAGCTTAGTCAAGTAAGTTATTGATATGTTCAAAAGAACTTTTTTTTAAAGAGTTAACATATTTTGGTAACAATAATTAGAAATTTAATTCTGAAGAACATCTAATTGATATTAATTATTAAAATTAATTTCAAGACTGGCTGCTCTCCCCTGCTAGAACCTCCAAACAAGCTCTCAAGACTGGTTTCTTTTGTGCAGGTATAAATATTTGGCTATTTTTCTAATAGTTTTGGCTAAAAATCAATAGTGATTAAGTTTATTAATTGTAAATTGTCTTGGAAGACATAGCTGTAAACCTTTACATTTTCATTTAATACATTTTTTGAAGATAGGTATTACATTCACATGGTACAAAATTCAGAAAGTGAAAAAATATATATATATTTAGGTCTCCTTCCAGGGAAGCAAACCTCCCTTCCTGATCCAGTCACTTGCTTGTTCTCCTCAGAGGAAGCAAAGGAAATATTTTTAAATGTTTATTTTCTTTCTAATTATAACAGATTGAAGATCTCAAACAGACAAATCATGGCTTGGAAGAATATGTTAGGAAACTCTTGGATAGTAAGGAGCTGGTAAGCAGTCAAGTAGATGATTTAACGAGCCACAATGAGCATCTTTGTAAAGAATTGATTAAAATTGACCAACTAGCAGAGCAACTAGAAAAAGAGAAAAATTTTGTGGTGGATACCGCTGACAAAGAACTCGAAGAAGCAAAGGTATTATATTTACCACTGATAGAATTTTTTATTGAGTTATAACTGATATATAGCATTACATTACCTCAAGGTGTACAACATAATGATTCAGTATTTCTATATATTGTGAAACGATCACTGCAGTAATTCTAGTTAGGATTTTATTTCTACTTTAGGATTGGGATTTTAATTCTACTCTGAACATCATGCAATTATTAAATGCAATGGAAAAAGTGACATTCACATTTATATCATTTGACAGTTTTTTTGCTTCGACATTAAATTTAAATGTCTATTCTAAGGATTAAATTATATTGTATTGCACATTTTATTTCTTTTAAAAAGTTTTGCTCAGAAAACTTACTAAGTAATATGTAGCCTAAGTAATATGGTAAAAACTTCAGGCAATAGGAATGTTCTGTAGATGTGGCCTATATATATATACACACACACACAATGGAAGACTGCTCAACCATCAAACCGAATGAAATCTTTTTTTTTTTTAAAGATTTATTTTTATTATTTATTTGAGAGAGTGAGAATGAGAGAGAGAGAGAGAGTACATGAGAGCGGGGAAGGTTAGAGGGAGAAGCAGGCTCCTCGCTGAGCAGGGAGCCCAATGCGGGACTCGATCCAGGGACTCCAGGATCATGACCCGAGCCGAAGGCAGTCGCTCAACCAACTGAGCCACCCAGGCGCCCAAACCGAATGAAATCTTGCCATTTGCAACAACATGGATGGAACTAGAGGGTATTATACTAAGCAAAGTAAGTCAGTCAGAGAAAGACAAATATCATATGATTTCACGCATATGTGGAATTTAGGAAATAAAACAGATGAATATATGGGAAGGGGAAAAAAGAGAGCGGAAAGTACACCATAAGAGATTCTTAATGATAGAGAACAAACTGAGGGTTGATGGAGGGAGGTGGGTGGGGGATGGGCTAAATGGGTGATAGGTATTAAGGAGGACACTTGTTATGATGAGCACTGGGTGTTATATGTAAGTGATGAATCACTAAATTCTACTCCTGAAACCAATATTACACTATATGTTTACTAACAAGAATTTAAATAAAAATTTTGAAGAAAAACAGGAATGTTCTATATATAGGACATTTTTCTCCCTTCCTAATTCATCTCTCTCCTGCAGAAATATCCACCACCAAATAGATAATATATTTCCATCCTTTTTTCTGTTTTCACACACAGAATTTATTTCACACTTTAAAAAGATTTTTTAATCAAAGTCTTAAATTTCTGTGTAGTAAAATTTGTCAGTCTTTACTGACTTCTGAGTTTTGATTCTTTTATTTTTTTGAGATTCTCCCCCTTTTTAAAAATTTGAGTAGATTTTATTTTTAGAGCAGTTTTGGGTTTATAGCAAAATTAAGCAGAAGGTATAGAGATTTCCTATATACCTCCTGTCCCTACGTATGGACAGTCTCCCTATTAGCAACATGCCCCACCCAAGTGGTACCTTTGTTAAAATTGATGAACCTACATAGACTCATCGTTATCACTTAGAGCCCATAGTTTACATTTTACATTAAGGTTCACACTTGGTATTATATATTCTAAGAATTTGGACAAATAGAATGAAATGTATCCACCATTATAGTATCATGCAGAATAATTTCACTGCCCTAAAAATCCTCTGTTCTCCACCTAGTTTTGATTTTTTTTTTTTTAGGAAGATCTCACCTCAAGAACTACAAGAATATTTTCTGCAGTTTCTTTTAATACTTTTTAATATTTTTTTAAGTTTTAAATCTTCTGGAATTTATTTTTGTTCTAGTAGGTATGGTTGGATAGTCCTTTCTTTAGTCACTGATTTGATTAGCAATAATCACGCCTCGGATAAACCTCATTGGCTACAATACTGCCACTGCGCAAAGCTTAGTCACTGATTTGAAATGCCATTTTAATAACTACTAAATTCTCATATGTGCATGGATATGTGTCTGGATTGTTTGATTTCATGAATTCATGTGCTATTTTCTGTGCCGCTATCACATTATTTTAATTAGTGTAGCTTTATGATATTTTGATAAACATTTTATTTCTTGATTGAGTTTTTAGTACTCTGCCATGAAATTTAGAAACTAGGAATATTAAAGTAAGAAACTTCACATATTATGAACTTTGACTTATAGCTAAGCTGTACTTGAAACTATGAGATACAAATGTTTGACATCTGAGGCCATTAAGGTTTAGGGTAATTTGTTACCTAGGAATAGAAAATAAAACAGTAAATACTCAAAACATTTTAATGTAATAAATGATAGAAGTTATATTATAACTTCACACAATTATAAAAATGAAGATAGTTTCATTTCTCATTATTGCCTAATGGCTTATAAGCAAGATACAATGTATTTCAAAGTCAGATTAACCTATTGAATTTTTTTAAAAAGATTTTATTTATCTGCCAGAGAGAGACGGGGGAGAGAGAGAGTGAGAGTGTAAGCAGGGGGTGTGGCAGGCAGAGGGAGAAGCAGGCTCTCCACTGAGCAAGGAGCCTGATATGGGACTCGATCCCAGAAACCCAGGATCATGACCTGAGCCGAAGGCAGACAGATGCTCAACCAACTGAGCCACCCAGGTGTCCCTCAACCTATTGAATTTTTAAATGATAATGTGTGAATGTGCTCCTTTGTCTTGATTTTATTAATCTCCAGATTAGTAAGTTGTCTGTAATAACGTAGTTTCCTGAAGCTTATTGTTGTTCCATGTTATTTCTTAAACAACATTTTAATGTACTCTTGGTAGCACATAATAGAGCATATCATATGCTACTTTGGGGAATATCCATGCACATATGAAGTACCCAAAGTAGCATATGATAAAGCCCTTAAATGATGAGGCTGAGAACATAAGTGTTATTGAAGGCATTATCCGTTAATTTGAAATATAAGAGCCCAGTTAATAAACGGTAGGATGGTATCTGTTTATATGCAGAAATTTTCCTTATTTAAATTGTGTAAAGGATAAATAAGCCTGAATTAGTGAAAAGTCTGAGTAATGAAATACTGAAACATGTGAAGTTTCTTACTTTAATGTAAGGACACAGCCTTTTTTTTTTTTTTTTAAGATTATTTATTTTAGAGCGAGAGAAGACAGCACAAGTGGGAGGGGCAGAGGGAGAGGGAGAGAGAATCCCAAGCCGACTCTGCTCAGCATGGAGCCCAATGCAGGGCTTGATCTCATGACTGTGAGATCATGGGACCTGAGCTGAAACCAAGAGTCCAACACCTGATAGCACCATCCAGGCATCCCAGGACACAGTCTTTTTTTAACAGTGTTACCTGGAAGAGGCTCTGAGAGATTAGATAAGAATGATTTGTGAATTATTTTCTTTGTAATGGTTGCTACTAAAGTATTTGGAAGACATTTAAAAGTAGCTTGAATAGGGCGCCTGGGTGGCTCAGATGGTTAAGCGTCTGCCTTCGGCTCAGGTCATGATCTCAGGGTCCTGGAATCGAGTCCCGCATCGGGCTCCCTGCTCCTTGGGAGCCTGCTTCTCCCTCTGCCTCTCTCTCTCTCTCTCTCTCATGAATAAATAAATAAAAAAAAAATCTTTAAAAAAAAAAAGTAGCTTGAATATTTTAAACATTTCTCAATAAGCTCTTCTGTTTGTACTGTTTAAGAATAGTTATCCTTCATTAACAGTTTAATGTTAAATTAAGTTCAGTCTTAATCATAAAAATTATCAAGATGCTTGGGTGGCTCAGTTGGTTAAGCGTCTGCCTTCAGCTCAGATCATGATCGCAGGGTTCTGGGATCGAGTCCTGCGTCAGGCTCCTTGCTTGGAGGGGAGCCTGCTTCTCCCTCTGCCTGCCACTCCCCCTGCTTGTGCCCTTTTTCTGTCTCTGACAAATAAATAAATAAAATCTTTTAAAAAAAATGATCAAATTAAGGAACACTGGGTTAATGTTTTATTTTCTTTCTTGTTTTCTTCTTCAAATTAAAAATTATATTGCTTCCCACTCTGGAGGCCTAGTTGGCCAAATTGCCCTGACGAGAGTGCCCAGTTTCGAAGTCATTAATTTTAAAGGATTGTTTGAGTCTGTGTTAGAGAGTGAGTACTCTGTCAGGGTGAATCCTCTGCTATCAAAAAGAGAATTTAAGGAATAGGAAAGATTTAAAATAAAATAGCTAGGATTTACCTAAACCTAAAAATATTAAACCCACAGATGGAAATTCTGCCTAGCTCAGAAAAGAGGGTTTCTAAGAAATAGATCTCACATATGATGTGGAATGTTTGGTATATCTGAGAATTGGAAAGCTAGATTAGAGATAGCATTGCTGATGCAGGAAAGACATTGGATAGTAAATAAAGAGGGGGCAAAATGGGTTGTTTAAATGTACTGAAATGAAATCACCAACCTCAGTAAGTGAGTGTTACAGGTAGAATGGGGATTAGAAAGATACATGACCAGTGTTGGGGATATGAACACCAACGCATGTTGTCATCATCCTTATGTCACAGTGTGTATAGTTTAGGTATCCAATTACTGGGGAGAGATCCCTTGTCTGATTTGTGGGGTGAACCTTGAAACAGAGAATTTCTGATTCGAGAGTTGAGAAAGAATGTTTGTATTCCTGTACTCTTTGGGGTTATGCTCTAGAGAGGTAGAGCTGAGGTTAAGTCTGTTTGTCTGGAATTGAGATAGATAATATTAAATTTATTTATTTGGAAGAGTTTACTTATAGTCATATTTTTAAAGGTCAACAGAATGACTTCCATCATGTATGACATTAAAATGTTCTGAATATTTACTATTTTATTTTCTATTACTGTGTAATAGATTACTCCTAAACCTTAATGGCCTCGGATGACAAACATTTATATCTCATAGTTTCAAGTATAGCTTAGTTAGCTGGGTAGTTTTGGTTCATGGTTTTTCAGGAATGTGTAATCAAGATGATGGCCAGTCTGTAGTCATGGCTTGACTGGTACTGGAGGGTTTGCTTTTAGATAACATACTCAGATGACTGTTGGCTTTCGGCGGGAAGCTTTAGTTCCTTGACAGGTGCACCTCCCCCTAAGGTTGTTTGATAGATTTATGTCAGCTTGCTTCCCCCTGAGCCAGTCATCCAAGAGAGGCAGAAAGGAGGAATCTGCAATGACTGTTATGATTCAGTCTTAGAAGTTACAAACCATCACATCCTGTTCATTAGAAGTGAGTTACTAAGTATATGCCACACTTAAGGGGAAGGAAATTAAGCTCCATCATTTGAAGTAAGGAATATCAAAATTTATGGACGTATTTTATTTTTTAAAGATTTTATTTATTTATTTGACAGAGAGAGGGAATACAAGCAGGGGGAGTGGGAGAGGGAGAAGCAGGCTTCCCGTGGAGCAGGGAGCCCGATGCGGGGCTCGATCCCAGGACCCTGGGATCATGACCTGAGCCGAAGGCAGACGCTTAACAACTGAGCCACCCAGGCACCCCAAAATTTATGGACATATTTTAAAACCACCAGAATTATATGCCTCCTTTTACCTTCTCATTTTGAGTTTTTTAAAATTATTTTTATCTTAATAATACAGTGTTTTCCAGCTAATTGAACATAAATTTTTGAAATAAGCAGAATTGCAATTTTACTATTACTAGTTTCTTCATACAATTTATATTTTAATTAACATAAGGGCTCTTCTTAGACTGGATCTTTGGTAGCTCTTGTCATTGTTACATTGGTATGTGATTCATCAATCAAAAATATTTCAAAATTTACCATGTGAGAGATAAAGTGTAAAGGCTATTTAAGTTCTTCCTCTCCCCCCCCATGCTTATTCTCCCTCTTTCTCCCCTGCTTTTTCTCTGTAGTACTTTCCAACTACTTTTCCCTACGTACACTCTATTCCAGCCACACTAACTCCTTACTATTCCTCAGAATTTAGCTGACCTTCTTTTGCCTTAGGGCATTTGCTTTTGCTGTATCTTCTGCCTGGAATGTTCTTCCAGATTTTTATATGGTTGACCCCCCCCTTTCTCTTTGCTCCAGGTCTCCTTTCAATGAGGACTTATTTGATAACCCTATTTAAAATTCCAACCTATTCCTTCATAAACATTCCCTTAACTCTGCTCTTTTTTTCCCCTAATGACTATATAATTTATTTGTTGGGTTTATTTTTTTATTGTCTGCCCAGCTGGAATGTAAGGTCTCCAGAGGTAGGGATCTTTGTTTATTTTTCACTTTTTTATCTCAATTGCCTAGAACAGATGCAAATGAATGCTCATTATGTATTTTTTGAATAAGACAGTAACTCTCTGATATATATTTACCTCTTTTGTTTTTCTCTTTTCAACTAGAATATAAGTTCCATGAGGGCAGAGGTTTTCTTTTTTTTTAATTTAAATTCAATTAATTAACATATAGTGTATTGTTAGTTTCAGAGGTAGAGTTCAGTGATACATCAGTTTTATATAACATCCATCTGTTGTTGGACATCTGGGCTCTTTCCATAATTTGGCTATTGTGGACATTGCTGCTATTAACATTGGGGTGCAAGTGGAAAGCAGAGATTTTTGTCTATTTTATTCCCTGCTATCCCCAGCATATAACACAATGTCAGGTGCATAGTAGGTCCTCATTAATTGTTTGTCAGATAAATGAAAACACTGGGTTAGCATCTTTTCATTTGGGCTAGTTATAATTTTGTTTTTCAGAGTGGAATCAGCATTATGTTTTTTATGTCTGTAAAAGTAATACATGTTTATCATAAAAATTTTAGTTCATATAGAAGAGTATAATGAAGAAAATCACACCTTGCTGTAATTAGACATAGTCTTATCTTCCTCAGTTTACATATTACTGGTTATGTTCCATCTGTATCTAGGATATGTGTGTATAAATTTCCTTTTTACAACAATGTGTCAGATAAAATTTTTGGCAGTGTGTGTTTATACCTAATTTAATGTGGGTACCTTTATACATAATTTAATACAGCTCCATTTCTTTTTGGTGTCTACATAATAGTATAAATTAAAGCATTGGAAATTGTCCAAAACTGTATAAGCTTATCCAGACTATACGTAAGTTTTGTTTCATACCATTGCCCCTTAATATTTCATAGACTACAAAAAAATATGACTGCCAGAGAAATCTTAGAAAGAATTTGGGTCTAAAGAACAAATGAGGAGCAATAATTCCAGAAAAGTCAAATTTAAAATATAGCAAGAAACAGGGCGCCTGGGTGGCTCAGTTGGTTAAGCGACTGCCTTTGGCTCAGGTCGTGATCCTGGAGTCCCGGGATCGAGTCCCGCATCGGGCTCCCTGCTCGGCAGGGAGTCTGCTTCTCCCTCTGACCCTCCCCCTCTCATGCTCTATCTCATTCTCTCTCTCAAATAAATAAATAAATAAATAAATAAAAAATAGCAAGAAACAGTTTAGAATAATGAGGGAGAGGTTTATGAATTGAGAAATAAATTTATTAAACTAATATGCCAATTTATAGCATAGATTATATCAAATAGATCTTTGCATGAAAACATAGTCACTGTCCTCTAGAAACATACAGGCTAGTCATATACTAACTATATGACTACAGGTAGTTATACTATAAGGCTGGGTATGTTCAACATCCTAAAACTGATACAAAAAGTATTTTATGGGTTTGACTGAACTAAACTATTTAAAAGAGTTCAGAGAAGAAAGCAATCACTCTGACTTTGGTGATTTGAGAAAACTTTTATCCTACTCATTCTTTTATCTCTTCCCTATTACCATCTTCAGAATTATAATTAGTATTAACATTTTGTTGCAATTTGTAGGGAGTAGTTTGGTAAAATATAACCAATTACTGTTTAATAACAAACTTGGGTTAATGGAAAGGGAACTGCTATATTTCATCCTATGTTCTTTTACCATCCAAAGGTAGGTGAACAGAAAGGGTAGATTATCTTTTCTTTTGTAAATTATTCACTACATGATTTTATTTTTAAGTGGCTTCCCTTTTTAAATTTTTAATATAATTTTTTTCATCATGGTAAGTGTACTCTTTAATCCACCTCACCCACCCCCCATTCTAACTATCAGTTTGTTCTCTATGGTTAAGAGTCTGTTTTCAGAGTGGAATCAGCATGATGTTTTTTATGTCTGTAAAAGTAATACATGTCTCTCTCTTTGTCTCTCTTTTTTTTCCCTTTGCTCATTTGTTTTGTTTCTTAAATTCCACATATGAGTGAGATCATATGGTATTTGTCTTTCTCTGACTTTTTTCACTTAGCATTATACTTTATAGCTCTATCCATGTTGTTGCAAATGGCAAAACTTCATTCTTTTTATGGCTGAATAATATTCCATTGCGTGTGTGTGTGTGTGTGTGTGTGTATGTGTATGTATATATAACCACATCTTTATCCATTCATTTATCGATAGACACTTGGGCTGTTTCCATAATTTGGCTATTGTAAATAATGCTGCAATAAATATAGGGGTGCATGTATCCCTTTGAATTAGTGTTTTTGTATTTTGGGGGTGAATACCCAGTAGTGCGATAATTGGATCGTAAGGTAAGTCTAATTTTAATTTTTTGGGGAACCTCCGTACTGTTTTCCACAGTGTCTGCATCAGTTTGCATTCCCACCAACAGTGCATAAAGGTTCCTTTTACTCCGCATCCTCGCCAACACATGTTGTTTCAAGTGGCTTTCTTTTTTGATGTTCTCTTTTTAGTTAAATCTGTTTAAATATTTTTAATCTAAATAATTTTTCTGGCTTGTTTTTCAGATTGAACTCATTTGCCAGCAAAGTAATATAGTAGTATTGGAAGATACAATAAAAAGGCTTAGATCTGTAAGTACATTTTTTATAAATGTATGTTGAGGAATCATTTTTATTCTTAGACTACAAAAAAATGGTTGTGTTTTAGCTCTTGTGCATTTTGTGAACAATAAAAAATGTCTGTTTTCTAAAATCAGCACTCTGCTTTGGTGCACAGGGGCACTTCCCATCTGTAAGAGCATTGTTGTTCTCGCTCCATTTCATCATTACGCCTTTCTTTCCTAGAGGTGGAGAGAACTTTGGTTGGTTTTATTACTGCCCTTAGCTGTTACTTGATTTAAAATGATGACTGTGAGTAATTTAATTCTCAAAATATAAGATGCATTTGTTTACACATTAACTTTTATCCCTCTTAGTAATAAATATTAAATCAGATGTTGTAAGTTAATTCTGAGTAATGAGTTTTCTTTTTCTAACAATGTGAAATGAAAACTCCTTTTAGACCGTTTAATGTTATCATTTAAAATATTTGGAACACCCTCTCTGAAAGCATATCTATAGTTTTCTCCCAATAAAGTATTGGTAAAATACAGATTATAAAAGAAAAAATCCTTCTAAATACATTAAGGTGATTGGGAATGTACTTGAAAGTGTATACAAGTATAAAATATCCAGCATCCATTTAATTTATTCATTTATTGAACAATTATTGAACAAAACTTAGATGCCATAAACAGAAGCTTTAATATTAGCATACAAGTTTCCTAAGCAAATTAATTCAATTTCTAGGACTTATAACCAGATATGTGGACATTTCTGGCCTTTCCAAAATTTCTTTACCATTTTTTCTTAAAATTATTGAGTAAATTTGGGGGTTCTTTTAATTAAATAAAAATATAGTACATTTAGAAATGCTAGAAAAAGAAGGCCCCAGAGATTGATGAATTATTTTTAAAATACCAAATTTATTATTTTTAAGGATCCTGTTTATTCAGTTTTCATATAGAAAATGATGCTATAGTGTAGCTTGAAATAATGACCTAATTTTTTCCTCCTTGGCAAGATAATTTTAGAGACTGAAAAAGCACAAAATAAATCTCCTTCCAGACTTGATTCCTTTGTCAAGACTTTAGAAGCAGACAGAGATTACTACAAGAGTGAAGCTCAAAATTTGAGAAGGATGATCAGAAGTAGATCTAAAAGTCCAAGACGCCCATCTCCATCTTCCCGGGTAGGTTTTGGAAACTTACAAATATTGTGGAGTTTGTTGCTCAAACACTTTTATTCTTTGATTTACCTAATATGCAAATAATTCATTTTAATTTGGCATGAATTGGTATATCCAAGAATTGGGGAGACAGAGGTCTCTTTGATGGCACAGTGGACTGTTGAATTTAGTTCTTTATCCCTGGTATTGGTAGTAGTTGGGAGGTAATCAGATAAATGTGGACCACTTTGGGATGAACCTGTTTAAAAGAGAAGTGATTTTTAAAACTTTTTTCATCATTTCCTTTCATTGTATGGTCATGTTTGCTTGAGTAGAGATTGTGTACTGCTATTAGTAGCACTGTTTTCTTAGAACCACGTCAAAAAAGAATTTCACATTTCTTGTATAATAATTGTAGGGTACAAACTGTGATGTAGAGCTTTTGAAGACGACAAGAGACCGTGAAGAACTTAAATGCATGCTGGAAAAATATGAGCGTCATTTGGCAGAAATTCAGGGTAATGTCAAGGTTCTTACATCTGAGAGAGACAAGACCTTTCTTCTTTATGAACAGGTAAATTTATAAATAACATACCTAAGTAATAATACTCAATTTTCAAGATATGTAATTTTTTAAGTTCTATAAGAATGCTTAAAACTACCGATCAAATTAACCTAACATTTGGGAATTACTTTGTTCTTAAGGTATTCTTAATGAAATGTAATGTGTTTCCAATACAATAAGTGTATGTGTACATACACACATACACACACATACACACATTTATCCTCATATCCAAAAAAGATCATGTACATGTATAGAAATAGTCTGATTTTTGGCATGAGACATGAGGAAAGTGTTAAATGATAGGAAATGGTGAGTTCAAGGTAAACAGATTGGGATTTGGGGGTTAGAAAATGCTAATATCACTTTGATATACTGTCAGTCACTTTAGGAACTGCTTAAAAGTTGCTTAATTTAGGAGAGTAAAATCAGTTTGTAGTTTATATCCATTTTTAGCTTAAAGTTATATATATAGCTCTTATTAATCATATAGCTTATTTACTCAGTAAATATTAAACCCCGTAAATCACCAACATAGTTTATTTTAAAAATACCAAATTTTATTAAGAATTATAGCTACTATATGCAGAGTTCTGAGCTTGACACTCTAAGAGATAGAAAAAAATGATAAAATACCAATACTATTTTCTATGTTCACAGTCTACTTGGGGAGATAAAGTATATTGTCTTGTATGTATTTTTTGTTACATAAGTATAAGTGGTCCAGAAGATGTTGTAAGAAATAAAAGAAGTGGGTATTTTTAGTTGTTGTGATCAAGGAAATCTTTGCTAGATGATATGGAATTTGAGTCCTGAAGGAAGAATGGAGTTCCTATTATCTTGAAAGAGGTAAGAAGGAACATTTCAGACCAAAGGAATGGTGTGAGGCAAAGGATAAAGGCAGGAAAATCAGTAGATAAATGGAGCAAATTAAGACTAGACTAAAAGCTATATGCCATTGGAGTAAGGGGGAGCTAAGGCTTGAGAGGTAAATTGGACTAGAGCAGGGGTCTGCAAACTTCTTCTGTAAATGTCCAGAAAATCTTGGGCTCTGCAGGCCACACAATCTCATAGCTGTTCAACTCTGTCATAGTGGGAAAGTAGCTATAGACAATTTACAAATGAATGAGTTTGGCTGTGTTACAATATAACTTTACTTTTGGACACGGAAATTTGAATTTCATATTATTTTACCTATGATACATATTATGAAATCTTTTTTTTGTTTTTGTTTTTTTTTTATCATTAAAAAATGTAAAAAACATTCTCAGCTTAAAGACCTACAAAAACAGGAGGCTGGCTCGATTTAGCCTGTGAGCTACATGTAGTTTGCCAACTTCTGAAGTACATGTAGAGGCTGTTTAATGGGCCATATAAGGGGTTTATACTTTGCTTTATAAGCAATGGGCAATCTGTTTTTGTTTTTTTTGTTTTGTTTTAGGGCAGAAGAAATAACCAAAGCCACATTTTTACAATTTTAACCTGTTAACAATTTTATATTATCTCTTTCATAATCTTTCTGTGTTACCTTTTTATATAACAATTTCTTTTTCAGGAGAATTGGAGGATGGAGAAACTGTGGACTTTTTGGAAGGCTGTGAAAGCAGTCCATGCATGAGGCATTAAGAACTAAGCTAGCGTGCTATCAGTAGAAATAAGGAGAGGGAGAGATGCAATAGACACTGTAACAGAAGCCTTGGCAAGATCTGGTTTTAGCAAAAAGGAGGGCTGAATGGGCTGACTGAAGTTCTTTTTTGAATGACTGAAGAATTTTGGTAGAAAAAGAAATAGCAAAACCATTGGTGATTTGAGGGAAAAGATGTATTGTTTTCAGATAGAGTAAGATGATGGTCATACAATCAGGTGGTAATTGCATTCAGGCAGAAAATGTGGGACTGGGGAGAGAGGTAAGAGCTGAATATGTAGGTGGAGAATTCATCTTCTTAGAGGTGAGTTTGTGGCCTTCAGAGTAGATGAGGTCTCTGAATGAGAAAGCTGTAGAGGAACAGATGTAATGTTGGGATGTTTTTTCCAATTAGTATGGGAACCTTTAAAAGAGATAAAGAAGATAGGAAACTAAGGTAGAACAGTATTAAGCCCAAGGAAGCAAAGAGTCTAAAACAGGGTGTTGAAGACAATGTCAAATGTTGCCAAATATCAAAAATGGGAACTGAGAAGAGACCATTTGGTGAGGTCATTATTTGAAATTCTGCCAAGTGGTGGGTATAGGAGCCAGGTAGTTTATGCTGGGGTGGGAGAGTAGGTGCCGAGGAACAGGCAAATGGGTACAGAGCATTGTGCTTAAAAAAAAATATGTCAAATGCAAAAGAGATATGGGATGGTAAATTGGACAGCAAGGTTAAATGACAGTTTTTCAAGATATGGGAGCCGTGTGTTATGGTAGAAGGCAGGGGAGAAAGAGCCAGTGGAGAGGGTGCTATTCAAAGTGAGAGGAAATAATTATACAGCTGAGTCTTAAACAAGGTGGGACTAGGGGTGCCAACCCTCCTGCACAGTTGAAAATCTTTGTATAACTTTTGACTCCCAAAAATTTAATTGCAACTAGCCTACTGTTGACCAGAAGCTTTCTGATAACATAGTCAATTAACACATTTCTTATATATGTATTATACACTTACTCTTCCAATAAAATAAGCTAGAGAAGAGAAAATGTTAGTAAGAAAATCATGACAAGGAGAAAATACTTTTATAATACTATACTGTATTTGTTGAAAAAATCTGTATATAAGTGGACCTGTGTATAAGTTCAAAACCATGTTGTTCAAGGGTCATCTGTAATTGAGTCAGGAGTATCTTAGAAGGCATTTCAGGAGATGAGGTCCAGGACTCTGGTAAAAGCTTTGCTATGGAGATTGGGAAGTAATATATCTTCCTCTGAGTCTTGGAGATCAGCTCAATAGGTAGTGATCAAAATCAAGAAAGATTAGGGACTTTTAAGTAGCACAGTAGGATAAGAAATTATCTGTAGGTATGGAATACGTTTGGGACCTGAGGATGGTTGAACAAGTGTGAGAGAGTATATTGGGTTGTCAGTAAGTATTGATGAGCCTTCTGTTAGGGTAAAAGTAGCCAGAACATGGAAATGGCATATACATTTATTAGAGAAAGATGGGAACACTGTAATATTTATTAAAACAGTATTTTACCTGAATTTTGCTGAATTCAAATTTATATCACAAAAATTTAGTAAAATATTCTCTCTTATATTGACTGCCTCCAAATTAATTTTAAAAAGTTTTGGCAAAGATATTATAAACCAGACTTCTATTTTTACACATTCACTTGCATTTTTTGACATCATTTGCATTTATTTATATAAATTCATTAAAAAACATTATCCTGTTGCATCCATTTTTATAAATGGTTTGTATTTTAACTGGCTGGATATAAGGTAGCTATATTTATGTCTTTTCTAAAGCTTGTTAAATAGAAGTCTGTGTATTTAAATAATAGGCACAGGAAGAAATTGCCCGACTTCGACGAGAAATGATGAAAAACTGTAAGTCTCCTAAATCAACAACAGCACATGCCATCCTCCGGCGGGTGGAGACTGAAAGAGATGTGGCCTTCACTGATTTACGAAGAATGACCACAGAACGAGACAGCCTGAGGGAAAGACTAAAGGTTTGGATGAATTTTATCTGTATGACCATTTGTGAAACACAATGTAGCAACATTGAAAACATTTTGTTTTGTTTTTGTTTTTTAAACAGATTGCCCAAGAGACAGCATTTAATGAGAAGGCTCACTTGGAACAAAGGATAGAAGAGCTGGAGTGTACCGTTCATAATGTAAAGAAAAATCATTTTTGTGTTTTCAGCTATAAACTGTCAATAGCTTCCCCCTTTCCCTTTTTTTTTTTTATATTCAGAGAAGTTCTTTTATTTTTCTAAGATAGTGTTAGTAATCCTAAAACATTTAAGGTGGTATGTATGGTATAAATTATCACTTTTTCATTGTTTATTTTCTTCCACAAAAAATGTAAGTGAAGCATTTTTTCTTTTAGGTTGCAAAGTGTGTTCTTTTTTTAAAAAACCCATTAGGGATACATCTGTGGGATTTTAGCAACTTTCTCATCTGTGGGATTTTAGCAACTTTCTTATCTCCCTGTTTCATTAAAGGTAACGTTGCCAGATACAGAGAAACTGGCTTATTCTACTGAAAGAGTAGCTAAGGTAGAAGAAATTATTATGAAATGAAAATTAATGAGAAGAATATATTTAAACTGAATTTAAATGTGAAGCATCACCTTTTTGCTAATCAAGAATTTTAGATACTATGAATATATATTTGAGATGTTATGACTATATAAACAAAATTAGGGGAATTTGACTTCTGTTACCAAATTTAATTGAATATATTTATACATTCATCTGTGTTATGTTGTTGTAATGAGGGAAAAAAACATTACTCAGGAGAGAAAAAACATTTTTTTTCATAATTCCACTTTATATGTATAACTTATTAATGTTGAACAACAAATACATCCTTTTGCAAATAAGATACATATGCTACAGTCAAAATGAACCAGATTGAAAATGTAGATGCATATACTCTAATAGGCTTTATGCCCAGGTTGTGCAGTGGCTTGTTCTTGTTCCTACTCCACAATACCTTGTCCATACAGCCTCCCACAACATTCAAGTCTAATACGATCATCTCCTGGTATAAATCTTGTCATATGCCACAGTTTGCACAAAGAGAGGATGTCTCTTTAAGAAGATTTTGTTAGTGGTGGCCGTAACCTTATCATTCTACTTGTATAGCTTGATGATGAACGGATGGAGCAAATGTCAAATATGACTTTGATGAAGGAAACCATAACCACTGTGGAAAAAGAAATGAAATCACTAGCAAGAAAGGCAATGGATACTGAAAGTGAACTTGGCAGACAAAAGGCAGAGAATAATTCTTTGAGGTAAATTACCTTTAAACAACTAGTTTACTATAACTACTAGATTCTACTTTTTGTAGAGTATTTTATAATGATAAGTTGTTGACTTTAATTTCTGAGAGGATTATTATGAAGCAGTTGTAGAAATCTCAGCACATTAAATGATTTCCCAAAGATCACTTATAGACTAGTAATGCCATACTTAACTAGGAGTCAGACTCCTAGTCATCATCATCTTACATTTGCAGAAAGCCTAATGTTTAACTGAAGTAGCTTTTACAAAGTCCTTCTGGGCACAGAGCATATTTGACTTTGGCATTTGAACATGTAGGAAAATGTAAGGGAACTTCTGTTAATTGAATGCCAAGTAGGTTCTTAGCTCTTCCTACATACTGGTATGGTAGCAGAAGAAATTCCAATTAAAGCAACCTACAGGCAATAAATGTAAGGGAATAAGTTCTTGAAGACCTCCATGTTAGCAATTTTACTTTTAGTGTCTGTTGATATGAGAGAATTCTACAGATACAGTAATGTTGAATTGCAGTGCATCTGTGAACATTTGAAAAACAGTATTTCATATGAGTGTGAAATATTAAGTCTACAGATAATACTTAGTTCACATAAGAGTTCCCAGAGTCCCCTCTCTGATCTTTCAAGGGTCTGTGGTACATATACTGAAATCACTTGTCAGGACAGATAATGACTCAAATTTTTCCCTTCACTTATTTCTAAATTTCCTGTTTAAAAGGATAGTACAGACTCAGGTAAAATAAAAATAATAAAATAAGACAACAACAACAAAGAAACCTTGCAGAAGAGAGAAAAGTGTAAAGAAAATTTAAATCATCCATGATTCCATAACTCAGTGAAAACTATTATTAATATAGATCTCTTTCTAACCAGGAATATTTCCATCCGTGTTATGTAAGCTTTCTGTGTAATTGATGTCATTCTATATTAGGTTATATATTTGGCCAGTTTCACTTAATTGTATATCATAAGCATTGCTCATGTCATTAGAAGTTCCTGGAAAGCATTTTAGTAGTTTACTAAAATATTCTATCAGATAGATGTGGAGGAGAATTTTTGCATACATTTGTTTTCTTTTAACAGTATTATTAGAATCTAGTTGGCATACATACAGTAAACTGCACATATTTAAAGTGTTCAATTTGGTAAGTATATATATATATATCTGTAAAACCATCAGCACAATCAAGATAGTGGCCTTACCCATCACTCCCCAAAATTTCCTCATACCCCTCTGTAACTTCTCACCTACCCTGCCAATCCCCAGACAACCACTGATTTGCTTTCTGTCCTAGAGATTTGTTTTGGTTTTCTAAAATGTTATATAAATGAAATCATACAGTATATATTCTTTTCGTGGGATGCTTTCCCTCAGCATAATTATTTTGAAATTTATCCTTGTTGTATAATCAGTAGTTTATTCCTTTCTGTTCCTGAGTAGTATTCCATTGTGTGAATATATGGACATTTTGGTTGTTTCCAGTTTGGGCCTATAACAAATAAAACATTCATGTACATTCTTACATGAGTCTTTGTATGGACATAAGCTTTTATTTTTCTTGGATGAATACCTAAGAGTAGAGTGACTGAGTCATGTGATGGATATATGTTTAATTTTGAAGAAACTATTAAACTGTTTTCCAAAGTGGTTGTACTATTTTATTTTATTATTATTATTTTTAAAGATTTTATTTATTTATTTGAGAGAGAGAATGAGAGAGAGAGAGAGCACATGAGAGGGGGGAGGGTCAGAGGGAGAAGCAGACTTCCTGCCGAGCAGGGAGCCCGATGCGGGACTCGATCCCGGGACTCCAGGATCATGACCTGAGCTGAAGGCAGTCGCTTAACCAACTGAGCCACCCAGGCGCCCCTGTACTATTTTATTTTACATTTGCACCAGTAGTGTATGAGTGTTCCAGGTGTTATGTAGCCTCATCAACACTTGGTATGCATTATCTTTTTAATCTTAACCATTCTAATAGGTATGCCCTCCCTAATGACTAATGGTTTTGAGCATCTGAGCATGCTCTCCCCTAATGACTAATGGTTTTGAGCATCTGAGCATGTGCTTATGTACCATACATTTATCCTCTTTAGTATCTGTTCAAATCTTTTACACACTTTTATTGAATTGTTTATATTATTATCAAGTTGTAAAAGTCCTTTCTAAATTCTAAGGCCTACTTCAGGTATATTTTGCAAATATTTTCTCCCACTCTGTGGCTTACCTTTATATTAACTATCTTTTATTTATTTATTTATTTTAAAGATTTTATTTATTTATTTGACAGAGAGAGACACAGTGAGATAGGGAACATAAGCAGGGGGAGTGGGAGAGGGAGGAGCAGACTTCCTGCCGAGCAGGGAGCCCGATGCAGGGCTCGATCCCAGGACCCTGGGATCATGACCTGCGCCGAAGGCAGATGCTTAACGACTGAGCCACCCAGGTGCCCCTAACTATCTTTTTTTTTCAAATGTAAGGTTTTGGGTTTTTTTTGTTTTGTTTTTGTTTTTTAAAGATTTTATTTATTTGACAGAGAGACAGTGAGAGAGGGAACACAAGCAGGGAGAGTGGGAGAGGGAGCAGCAGGCTTCCCGCTGAGCAGGGAGCCCAACGCGGTGCTCGATCCCAGGACCCTGGGATCATGACCTGAGCTGAAGGCAGACGCTTAACAACTGAGCCACCCAGGTGCCCCTCCTGTTTTTTAAAGAGCAAATTTTTTTCATTTTGATTAAGTGAAATTTATTGATTTTTAAAAAATTATACCCAGCTTTTTGTATTCTTTTAAAGAAATCATTGTCAAATGTAAGGTCACTGAGATTTTTTTTGTGTGTTTTCTTCTAGCAATTTTATAGTTCTTAATATTTAAATCTGCTATTCATGTCAAAGTTTTCGTATATGGTCAAGGTATAGATCAAAGTTCACCTTTTTTTGCATAAGGATATCCAGTTGTTCCTGTATTTGTTGAAAAAGTATGCTCTCTTGTTTTTGTACTTTGTAGAAGGTCATTTGTCCATATATGTATAGGTCTTTTCTTGGTTATCTATTTTATTTGATGGATCTATTTATATATCTCAATCCCAGTATAACCCGCCTGATTACTTTTTTTTTTTAAGTCTTCAAATTAGGTAATGTTAGTCCTCCAACTTTGTTCTTTCTCAAAGTAGTTTTGGCTATTCTAATTCCTTTGTATTTTATTTTAATTTTAGAATCATTTTCACAGTGTATAAAAAAAAAAAAAACCTGCTTGGGAATTTGATTGGAATTGGGGAAAATGACATCTGAATTTCAAGTGTTCCCACTCAGAAACACAGTATTTCTCTCCATTGTTTAGATCTTTAATTTTCCTCAGCAATGTTTTGTAGTGTATAGGTCCTTTACTACTTTTATCAGATTTATATGAGTATTTCCTATTTTTTTTGATGCTGTTGATAATGGAATTTTAAAATTTCACTTTCTGATTGTTTATTGTTTGTATATGAAAATACAGTTGTTTTTAAAATAAACTTTGTATTTTTCAACAATTTTAGATTAATAGAGCAATTATGAAGAAGGTAGAGTTCCTATATACTTCATACCCAATTTCCTCTCTTATTAACACATTAGTACGTTTGTTAGAATTAATGAATCAATTATTTGATACATTATTAACTGAAGTCCATACTTTATTCAGATTTCCTTAGTTTTCCCCTAATGTCCTTTTCTGTTCCAGGATCCCATCCAGAACACTAACATTACATTTAGTTGTCATGTTTCCTTAGGCTTGTATTGGCTATGACAGTTTCAGACTTTCCTTGTTTTTGATGACCTTGACAGTTTTGAGGAGTACTGATTAGGTATTTTGTAGAATGTCTCTCAGTTGGGGTTTGTCTGCTGTTTTTGTCATGATTAAACTGGGTAATTTGTTTTTGAGAGAAAGGTCACAGATGTAAAATTCCATTTTAAGGTACATATATATCTAGAGTATAATGGGTATGTACAGTCCATAGGATTTATTACTGTTGATTTTGACCTTTATCACCTGGCTGAGGAAATGTTTGCCTTTTCTAGAATGTCATATAATTGAAATCATACGGTATACAACCTTTTCAGACCAGTCTCTTTCACTTAGCAATGTGCATTTTAGGTTCGTTCATGTTTTTTTCATACCTAGATAGTTTATTTCTTATCATCGAATAATATCTATCATATGTATATACTATAGTGTGTTTATCCATGCACCTATTGAAGGACATCTTGGTTGCTTCCAGTTTTTGGTAATTATGAGTAAAGCTGCTGTAAACTTTCATGTGCACGTTTTTGTGTGGACATAGGTTTTCAGATCACTTTAGTAAATACCTAGGAGCACAATTGCTGAATCATAGATTAAAACTATATTCAGCTTTATAAGAAACTGCCTAACTCTTTCAAAGTGACTGTACCATTTTGCATTCCCACTGGCAATGAATCAGTTTCTGTTGCTCCATATCCTTGTTAGCATTTGGTATTGTCGCATTTTTGTATTTTAGCCATTATAATAGGTGTGCAGCAGTATTTCATTGTTTTAATTTGCAGTTTGCTAATGACAAATGATGTGGAGCATCTTTTCATTTGTTACTTGCCATCTTTTTATTTTCTTTGGTGAGGTATCTGTTTAGATATTTTGCCCATTTTTCAATTTTTTGTTTACTTATTGTTGAGTTTTAAGAATTGACCTGTACCAGGGCGCCTGGGTGGCTCAGTCATTAAGTGTCTGCCTTCGGCTCAGGTCATAATCCCAGGGTCCTGGGATCAAGCCCCGCATCCAGCTCCCTGCTCAGCGGGAAGCCTGCTTCTCCCTCTCCCACTCCCCCTGCTTGTGTTCCCTCTCTCGCTATGTCTCTGTCTGTCAAATAAATAAATAAAATCTAAAAAAAAAAAAAAAAAAAAAAGAATTGACCTGTACCTCTGAAACAAATAATACATTATATGTTAAAAAAAAAAAAAGAAGATAGTAGGAAGGGAAAAATGAAGG